GTCTAACTATGGCTAAGTGCTTCTCTTTAACCGTCATTGGCGGAGGGTTAGGGGGAGGTGGAACCCACCGCTCGAAGTGCTCACGTGGATGTCTCCCTCTCCAATAATCATCGAAAAGGAGGTACCTTGGGTCAAACTTGTCAGCACCGTCGATCCACTGAAAGAAAAAACACCTCTCATGGGCCTACACAACAATATTCCAACAAAATATTAGTAACCTAGTAACACAAATGAAGAAAAAAACATACGGAAAGAATTACTTACATTAAAACGACATCATGTGTAGAAGCAACGAGCCACTGTGTCCGGATGTCTCGATTGAAACACGTCGGCCGGACGACCATAGTCACAGTTAGGGACAGGGAGGTCAGGAGGGACGGGGGCATCTTTGCTAGACTCATCATGGTACAATTCTCTAGGACGACCCCGTTTTCGCCACAACTGCTCCCGATACATGTCTTGCATCTAATTAAATGGTTGTAATTTAACATCAATCAAAACATCGCAAATTAATGTAAAGGAGAACCATTTGCATTACAACTAAAATAATACCTCACACTAAACACGGTAACATGCTTCTAACTAACTAATTAACCTTAACAATGACAAAATCAAACTAATATTTTCCTCTAAACCCTAGCCCAAATATACTTATCCTCCAAACCCTAGCTACCATTCATAATATTTGAATCCACCGTTCAAACGACAAATAAGAGCATCGTTACCGTGACCGAGGCCGAGGAGAAGCTTGGGGAAGGGAGGGAGGGAGACGGGCAGGAAGGTCCAGGCGGCGGCTGGGTTCTATGAGGAGGGAGGGGGGGTGGCGCGGGCGCCCTCACCTCTGTTCGACGTAAGGCAGAGAGAGGGAGGGAGGCTCGCGACGCAACATTAAGTCGGCCCTGTTGCGTCGTGGGCGATGGCGCAGCACTGCCACGCCAAGATGTGCGGCGCGGCAACGCCTGCCACGTCAGTCGATCAGGGCTCGTGCCCCTGCCACGTCATCGCCCTTGCCCCGCCTCCATGCATGGCACGACAACGTTGTTTGGCCGCGCCGTGGCAATATGCGTGGCTAAAAGTGTTAGATTTGAAAATAAAAAAAACAGTGTCAAATTTGAAAATAGTTTACAAAAAAGTGTTAAAAAAAAAAAAAACACTAACTAAAACCTAAACCCTAAATTACTAACCAAACCCTAAACCCAATATCCTAACTAACAAAAACCTAAAGGCTAACTACCTAACCATACCATAAATCCTAACTACTTAACTATACCAAATCACTAACAATAATCAATTCATTCAAAATTTAATCACCAAAATGAGGGTCTTGGAGGGGGAATACCTTAGCAACAATGGGAGAGCTCCTGGGGGTCAACCCCAACGACGGAGAGGGCCACCAGCGTCCTCACCACCGGCGGCGGTGGCCGAACGAATGTCCACCAAGGGAGGCAGCGCGGGCGGCCAAGGGGCTGACCCCCAGCCTATGACCAGGGGAGGCGACGCGGCCGACGGTGGACGAGCCAAGGGAGGGGGCGACGGCGGCAGGCACGGACAAACAGGAAGGGAGGGGCGCGGGCGGCCAAGGGGGTGCGGCCTCGCCTGAGCAGGAGAATGGGGAGAAAGAGGGAGGGATGGAGGCGCGGTGGAGGGCCCAAGGCCGTGGGCGGGCACGACGGGAGGGTGGCGGCGTGGTCGGGCGGGTGGTGGCGGTGTCAGGCGGCGACGGACGAGACAGAGGAGATAGAGAAAAGGAATGGAGATAAAGGAAAGAAGAGAGGCCTTGCCGCGGGCCTGTAATGGGCCTTGTCGCGCCATGCGTCATGGCGCATCATTGCCGCGCCTAGATCCGCGGCGCGGCAGCCCCAACCACGTCAACGTTTAGCGGCACTGTTCGCTGCCACGTTGCCGCTCCTGCCGTGCCCCCATGCATGGTGCGGCAGCGTGATTTCATAACGCCATGCGAATAGGCGCGACCAAAAGTGTTAGTTTCGAAGAAAAAAATAAATAGTGTCATATTTGAAAATTATTTAAAAAAATGTTAAAAATAAAAAAATCGCTATCTTTATCGCGCCGGGTCCCACTAAATTAATTTTTAGCGATGGACAGATACTTCTTCGTCTTCATCGATGAGTAGACTTAGATTATTTAGATGAGAGTCAAGAAAGCGACGGTTGTCTGCTACTATTATAGAATTGATTTTTTCACAACTGACAGGTACTGCTGCTTTTTCAGCCGTCTTTGTAGCGTTGGGTCCCACTAATTTGATTTTTAACAATCTTTATAGCGTTGGATAGATACTTTTTCATTTCCGTCAATGAGTAGACTTAAAGGGTGTTTGGTTTCTACTGGTCTTCTAAAATTTCTGTCATATCGAATGTTTAGATGAATATTAAATATAGATTAATTATAAAATTAATTACACAATTTACGATTAATTAGAGGGACGAATCTTTTAAGCCTAATTAGTCTATGATTTGACGTGTTGCTATAGTAAACATGTGCTGATGACAGATTAATTAGACTTAAAAAATCGTCAAGCAAATTAGCCTCTATCTATGTAATTGGTTTTATAATTAATCTATATTTAATGCTCTTTATTAATATTAAATATTCAATGTAACATAAATTTTAGGAACGACTCAAGAACCGAACACCCTTAGATTATTTAGATGAGAGTCAACGCCCAACTATACACATTGCCCGCCAGTTGGCTACTACTACTGTAGAATTGATTTTTAGCAACAGACAAATACTGCTGCATTTTCAGTCGTCTTTATAGCGTCAGGCCTACTAACCTATTTGTCCCTACAAATGGCCTACAATATCTATTGTAGTTCTCATTCTGATAGAAAAATATGTTTTCAGGATTCGAATTTGAAATCTCAACGTTCGCATCCCAGCGAGCGCACATAGAGCTACGCCACACATGTGACAATATATATAGCTAACGTTATTATTTTAACTACATATTTTTTTAATATTATATTATATATTTGACACTTAAAACAATCTAAATTGAAAAAGTTAAAGTTATAAATATCATCGAGTACTACAACTTTTATATTGACTCCGTCTCCGTTCGACATTAGTAATCATGTCAAATGTGATCTGAGAACTTATATTGAATATTTGGACTTTTAAACCATCTCAAATTAAAAAGTTGCCAACTACAAAGTTTTATATATTTTTAAACTCCATAATTTTGATATAGAGTTTATCTTAATCAGATCTCAGATGAAAAAGTTATGAATTTTTATGTAAAACAACTATAACTACCCCTATCACTGCCAGTTCAAGCCATGAATTAGCATTGTAGGCCACCGGTCACTGTTGGTTGTCTTATCACTACTGGTTGATGCTAAGAACCGGCAATGATGCTCTATAACTACCGGTTAGAAAATAACTGGCACTAATAACCCGACGATGAATGTTAGTTCTGTAGTGAACTTTCTAAAAAAAATACAAATCTAATGGGAAAGATTTTTCTTTTGATTCCTTTGGAGGAGAAGGTACATAATTGCTGTCTCTAACATCTTTTTAAAGGTTTAGTGGTAGAGTACTTGCTCAATTAGGGTTTTGATTTTCTCTCTCTTTCATGGTATTTGAGGCATTCATGAAAGAAATTAGACAAATCTTTGAAGGTTTTAAGGTTGAATTTAATAGGGGGATAAGATTTACCATTATTTCGTGGCCATGTCTTGCTTTTATAGTCTACTAGTTAGTTTTAAATAGGGATTGGGTCTAGATCTAGAATTAAAAAAATTTATTTTTTACTCAACATCCATATTTTTTTTGTTTTCAAAAGATGATTAAGTGCATCAATAATAGGTTGAATATTAGTTGGGGCAATTATTTTTTCTTTTGGCGATTATTGATGTAGGTTTTGTTTGGACAATGACATGATTAATACAAAGTTGATGGGTTTTATGGTTTATTAGTTAGTTTTTAAATATGGATTAAGTTTGCATCAACGATGTGTTCACTAGTAATAGTTTTCAACTAATCTTTTTCAATTTTTTTGATTATAATTGTTAAGTGAATATTAATTAATTTGTTTAATTTGGGGTTATTTAAAATTTTTATTCTAGTTATTGTTACTTGTTTTTTTTTTGCTTTGGTAACGTAAAAGATGGACATGAACTCATGGATGTACGACTGAACAAGGTGGAAGCCATTTTTCTGCCATGAAGTGAATGGATTTATCGAAGTCGTAGAGAAGCATGCAATGGCTAAGAATGGAACCTAAATTCATTGTCCATGTAGTGACTGCAAGAACAATCTCGCGTGGAAAGATGCGAGTACAATCAGATCGCACTTGATCATGTGAGGCTTCATGAAGGACTACATAGTTTGGATCCATCATGGCGATGCAATCTTTGATGTTGAGTTAGAAGGAGAATTTCATGACACAGAGTACGGAAGCACGTTTAGCTGATCTTAATGCTGAAATGGGTGGCTACGACAAGGTGGACATGTCGGGGATAATGTTGGTGGTGGCGGAGGCAGTGATGGTGGGCACGTCGGTGATGAAGATTATGGTGATTATTTAGAGGAAATACTTCGGAACATTGGACCAGAGGTGTTAACCAGGAGTGCAAAAAGTCTAGAAAATTTGAAAAGGGTAAAAAGCTAGTGCCACAAGGGAGAGGTTTATATGGCATTGTAAAGGATTGTCTGACTCATTGGACGGTGCTAGTTTTGTACTTAAGATGCTGATCCTGAAGGCTAAGAACAGTTGGTCAGGTTTTGGCCTGCGCAAATCGGCTTAGGTCGGTTTTCCTTTGACCTCGCTCTGTGGTCGGCCGCTGCGGTCGTGCACTCGAATGAGTGACCAGTATAAGTGTTAACAATTACTTGCAACACATAAACACACACTAATGTTAAGTTCGGATGTTTGCACTAACAAAAAATAGGAACATCGTACAATCACCAAAGTATGAGTAGTGTTGGTCTCCTTTGTGGTTTTCTTCTTTATTGAAAAAACAAAACTAAATTTCTCCACTTCAAATCCTATAGGGTCTTAGCAATGATGAAGAGCAGTAGCAAAAGTGCAAAGAAAGCAATGATGAAAGCATAGCCTTTTTCCAATCAAGCTTGAATCTTCCAGGCCTCTCATTTTGTGGGGCCACCTTCGCTTCAATAATTTGGTCTTGTGGAGAGGGGTGTGCATTTTGTGAGGTCACTGCTTCAATAATTTCATCTTGTTGAGGTGGTTGTGCATTTTGTGTCTCTGCCGCTTCAACAATTTCATCTTGTTGAGGAGGGTACGCATTTGGTAGAGCCACTAGGGCTTCAAAACTTTCATCTCTTTGTGGCTCCCATGTGTTGTCCATATTGATTACTTTGCCCTTTGTGAAGCCCTGGAGCTTATCCTCGATACCAATCTTAGTTCTGGTATCAACCTCCAACCTCGTTAGTGTCGTTGACTTTTGAAGAATGAGTGGAATAGCTGTCAACTTTATGCATCCTAGTAAGCTGAGTACTTGAAGTTGTGGCAAATCCTGGCTCTTAAGATCAGACCATGTATGTAGAGCTTCCATGCCACCAATGAAAAGCAGCTGGAGCCTGCGAAATGCTACCTTGTCCTGCAGATCACCCCTAAACTCCATGCCAAGCGAACATAGCCTGGCAAAGCCTGTCACAGCTAGGAACTTGAGTTGTGGCAGCTCCCCTAATGAAGGGAGTTTCTCGCACCATACACAATTTTGGAGGTGGAGTCGCTGGAGGTTTGAGAGAGTTGATATCCATGAAGGGTACTGCATCCCATAGTAGTTCTCAATTTTGAGATGTACTAGGCATTTGTGAGGGTCAAACTTGTCGAGAACTTCCATTCTTTTGTCCATCTTTTTATCTTGCACCAATGTAGGGTCAACATTAATGTAACATAGCTCAAGCTCCTTGAGCTGATACTTTTTAACCGGGGACTCATTTTCAGAGGCTCCATGATTTCCTCTAGCTTATCAATATGAAGAATATCAAGTTTCTTGGGACATTTAAGATCCAGTGACTGTAGCAAACCAGTCTGTCCCATAGGAAAGCCTTGCATAGAGATAAGCTCTTCCATGCCAGAAAAGCTCCAGTTTATAACCCTGATACCAGTACCTGAAATGTCAAGGCACCTCAAATGTCTTAGTTCCAGTGCCCTTTGGAAGTGTCTCTATTTGCGAGCAGTTTCTGAGAAGGAAGTACTGGAGCATCTTCAGGTCTACTATGCTCCTAGGGACTCTTTTTATCTTTGTTTGAGAAATATTCAAGTATCGAAGACGCTCTAGGCTTCCTACAGCAATAGGTAGAACCTCAATACCCCTCACTTCACGAAGGTCAAGCACTCTTAAAAGATTTAGCTGTTTGAACGTGTCCACTCGAATGCCATCTGGTACTGTGCTCTTATGAAGTACTAGTGTCCTTAGGTACTTCATCCTTTTTAGTCCATGCAACGATGCACTTTCACCAGATTTTGCATCTTTTTTGGCTTCATCATTATTTAAGTGGCCGTTATTTGCCTTGTTTTCATTGATATTTTCTTCTCCTCCTATGATCCCACCATTGTCACCATTTTCATTGCTATCATCATTATGCTTATCTGCCTCATTGTTTTTAACTATGGACAACCTCCGGGCTTCAAAAATATTTGTTGTAGACATTGATTCATTGCAAAAGTTCTCATGATCAGACACATCCTTTGCGAATGAGCGGATCATGATAGGCATCTTCGCTCCTATGGCACCAGCATTCCCAAACTCAAGATGGAGGAGACCTCTTCCAATCAACTCATCAAAATAATACTCCGCAACCTCTTCCATGGTTAGTTTTCTCTTCTCCACAATGAAGCCCTCAGAGATCCATTGTTGTATAATGTACTGTTTCTCGATGAAGAAATCTTCAGGAAAGACTGAATAGTAAAGAAAGCACTGCCTCATGTAAGATGGCAAATTCTGAAAACTCAAGTTGATCATGTATTGTTCCTCTGGTGAAAGGTCCTGAAATGCAGTCCGGTAGACAGTCTCCCAGTCATGCCTTGTCGGCTCATGGCTCCTTAGAGTCCGCCCTATACTCCTGATGGCAAGCGGGAGACCATCACATTTCTTGACTATCTGTTGCCCAATGTCCTTTAAGTCTGCTTCGTCATTCTCACTAATCGAAGCTCTTCGAAACAGCAAGCTCAAAGCATCAATGTTGTTCATCCTTTTGACATAATGGATATGACCAGCCCCGATTCTTTTAGCAATATGCTTATTTCTGGTAGTTAATATCACTCTACTGCTTTCACAGTTGCCCTGCAGCAGAGGACCCTCCAACAACGCCTCCCAAACATTTTCTGTCCAGACAGAATCAACTACTAGCAAGAATTTCTTATTAGCTATTTCAGCCCCTAGGTTCTGTAGTTGAGCATTAGTTGATCCTTCCTTACGACAATCCGACCACATTATCAGTGAACTCAAATCATTGGAGAAACGTATCCATAATTTTATCTCAAAGTGTTGATCGTTACCATCACCAACCTTGACTCTGTGATATATCCTCCGAGCAAGAGTAGTCTTGCCAATTCCAACCATTCCAACTATCGCAATAAGACGACATCTTTTCTTGGAACTATGTAATAACTCAATTATATCACTAGCATCGCTGTCAACATAGTCACCAATAATATCAGCATTGTAGTCAGATGCTGTCTTTCCATATGATCGAATTGCGTGCTGGTCTGTCTTAGTCTCATCTTTAAGCTTCAGTATGCTCTCAAAATCCACATTCAACTCCTTTATGGCGGCAGCAAGTTTCCTATTATCAGAGCAATCACCGCAGCTAAGCGACCTTCTATGAGATCCCTACACAACAAATGAACAAACAATTATTTTGAGTATTTATTATTTAAGCATGCCCTTGAACTTAGATTCTTCCTTTTTAAAAGTCATGCAGGATCAACATGGAGAAGACTTTTGAGTTTTGAAAGAGATAAAATAACACCTATGAAACATATATTAGTATAGGCACACACTAGACCGGAGAAAACGAAGTACATCCATCTAATATCTCGTGAATTGATATTTTACTTTACTAATAAAAGGTTCCAATAAAACCACTATGTTAATTCTCACAGATGCATTAGAAAACAAAATAAATTCTAGAAATTCTCATAAAAATTAGAAACCTACATATGGTGAAACATATAGAGTAACTCATAAATTTACCATAAGCAGAAAGGGATTATAGAGCATCTAATGGAACATTGTGTTACGCAAAGATAAGCAATTTCGATTATTTGTAGGTACTAAATTTATTAATGGGTTTATAATATTTATGTATTTTATTAAGAGCTAGTCCGTGGAAGAGCATGATTTGATAAAATTAGTTTCAAAATAGTATGAGTAGATTGTCTTGAAAAAGGGAAGGAAATTTGCTATGTCTCATAGAAGCAATCCAACACACTTCACTTATTTGTAACTGGAGGGAGTAGTAGACTTACTATGCCTTTCTCGTTGTTTTAGTAGAGTTTAAAACATGCTTTGAGTTACTGCATGCATGATCCATTCATTTCATATCTTTGAACCAACTAACTACAAAAGGACTACGAAATGTTCCCTCTCTCTTCTTTCTCTGAATAAATCAGTTCACAGAGTTGTCTTAAGTAAAAAGAAATTATGTTTGACCAAATTTATAGAAAATGCACAAATATTTATAACACCAAATGAACATATTATGAAAATATATTATATGATGTATCTAATCATACCTTCCAAACCAATAATAACTCGTGATACCTTCCAAATCAGTCTTAAAATATATATTTTTATTATAAATTAAGGAAATAAAAAATTGCTCAAGATGACAATTTTCCATTGTGATTAGGGCCGCTCCTTTTTTTACCCTTACATTTCAAACCAGTGCAAAAACAAAAGTGTTTAACATACGTTGAACGGGTATTTCAAACCATTGGGTTACTTCTGGATATATGTAACATGTTAGGCTGTCTCCAATAGGTGACGTATATGAGCACCCAAATACAAAATGAGTCTCGGAGGGTACTGTATCAGCCTCCAACAGAGTACCTATATGTGAGACTCATTTTGGGTTGCAGCAGAGGTACAACCCAAATATGAGTATCATCTCTCCTGAAAACTCATTTGCAGAAAGAGTTCTCTTTTGGATCTTGTTGTTGGAGACCTAAAAATAGGTATTGAACCCTTTGCCTATAGCGCTACCTAAATATGGAATGGGTCTTGTATTTTAGGGATGTTGTTGGAGATAGTCTTAGATTTCACCAAATAATAAAGTGAGTGATGAAGTAAAAGAAGGGGTTAGCTTCCTTCGGTTCACTTTTCTTTTTATGTGTTTTTGGTCCTCCTCCTCTTTAGTAAGCTCGGTGCTTATCATTGACGGGTAGCTTGTAATGTTTCTCTACTTTCTTTTAATTGAATACGTGTCTAGGCACGGTCATGAAAAAAAAAGTAAAAGAAGGGGGTGAGGTGGGCTAAAAATAAATGAAATCTACATGCAGTATATATATGTTCCTCGCAACGACGTCGACAGGAGAGCATATAGAGCAGCATACCCTGTGCTTCTTCTCGTTCTTGATGATCCAATGGTCGACGACGTTCTCGACCTGGTACATGTGGTCCTTGACCCGCTTCAGCCAGTACCTGGCCACCTCGTCGTCCAGCATCACCTTGCGCTCCGCCGACTCCATCATCAGCGCCACCCGCTCGTAGTTCGTCTTGAGCCTGTTGACGTCGCCCTTGACGGCCCGGTGCTCGCTGATCTCCGCCAACACCAAGTTGGCGAAGAAGGTGGTGAGGCTGGAGGCCATGGAGGACAAGACCGGGTCCGCGACCACGACCATCTCGATATATCTCTCGGTAAGGTCTCAGGGGTAGGTCTTTCTGCTTTCCCCTCCCGGCCGGGACAACCACCACAACGGTGGATGGTTCTCCTGCTGCTTGCCTGATCGATCGATCGCGAGAAGGTCATTCGATTCAGGTTAATTTAGTGCTAGCTAGCAGGATGCACATGGTAGAAATGCGTGCAAAACGACCTACCAGGTACCGGTACCTCACCGGCGCGGGCGATGTCGTCTCGACCGACGGCGCCTTATTTTTGGCCAGGGAAGGAAGAAGAGCTGCTATGGATGAAGGGGGAGGGAGGGAGGGATTTATTAGGCACAACAAATGCTGAACAGCCAGACGACCCAATCAAGCAGGCATTTTAATGATGAATGGATTTCTTGAGTGATTGTTGTCAGTCTTGCTTATCAACTATGATACATTGTTTTTTTCTCATAGCAATTTAGCTTCGGCTGCACAAACCATCAGCCGAACAAGGCCTGGGTCTCTGGCGCGCTCTCTCTCTCTGCCTCTCGTCAGATCGGTGATGAGAGTACTCCCTCTGGTTGTCCTTTTTTAAGTCCCTCTATGGTATATCTATTTCCGTCATTTAAAAAAAATAAATTAACAAGATTTATAGAAAATATTAGTAACATTTATATCTTTGAATAAGTTTATTACTAGCAAATATGTCCGTACGTTGCAACGGGAGAAAAAAGTACCAAACATTTAAGAAAAACAAGGACCGAAATAATATATATCTCTTTATATTTTACTCTTTGTATAAAATTCAAGGTTTTAAATCTCCGGCTATAGCCTCCACTATCTCCGGCTATAGCTGTTTGAGAAGGATTTAGCTAAGTTTTTTCATGTATAAGTTAGCCTTTAGCTGCCGCTATAGCTGGCTATAGCCTGTTTTCGGACATTGAAAGTTAAATGGCTTAGCCGGCTATTTAAAACCTTGATAAAATTTCGTCAAGAATTATGCTTGAAAATATATTTGTTAGACTAAACTGAACAACTCACTTCAGATTTCAGTCCACAGTTTGACTGATTCACTACCGGAAACCGGCACTTTGCCGAGTGCCGGAGGCTTTGCCGAGTGTATTTTATCGGGCACTCGGCAAAGACGGTCTTTGACAGTCTTTGCCGAGTGCCAAATAAAATACTACCACTATGTCGGATGAACAAATGACCAAAATAAACTTTGTAGATCTTGAGAAGTTATGAAATTTTGTAGTTGGCAACATTTTGATTTGAAATCATCTTGTCATGCAAAAACGACGTTTGAATTTGAAAATTTTAAAATTTGAATTTTTCAAAAGACCTCGGATAGAAAAACTTCCTAAATGAAAATTGTAGATCTCCAAAAGTTATGAAACTATGTAGTTGACAACTTTTTGATTTGAAATCATCTTATCATGTAAAACTACGTTTGAATCTCTAAAATTTGAAATTCGAATTTTTCAAACGACCTCGAATGGAAAAACTTCCTAAATGAAAATTGTAGATCTCAAAAAGTTATGAAACTTTGTAGTTGACCACTTTTTGGTTTGAATTCGTTTATGGCCTCAAACAAACAATTTACTCTCGGTTTAGTATAATATATGAGGATAGATAACGGAATCTAGACACAAGTGACAGTGTAGTGCAGTGGCAGAGCAACAGACATGCGAGGGAGAGGTCGTGAGTTCGAATCCCGCCGGCCGCGTTAGCCGCGAATTTAGCGTAAAAAATGCACCGACTTCGATGAAGACGGGCGGGCGCTGGCTGGTGGCGGCCTCCCCCGAAATTTTTGCTATTATTTTTGGGTTTTTTCACATTTTTATTTTGCCGAGTGTAAATCTTTGCCGAGTGCTTTTCCGGCACTCGGCAAATGCCGAGTGCCTGACAAAAAGCACTCAGCAAATAGTTGTTTGCCGACAAAAAGATGCCGTGTGTTGTATGCCGAGTGTTACACTCGGCAAAGCAGTTGCCGAGTGTTTTTGGGCCATTGTCGAGTGTTACACTCGGCAAAGTGGTTGCCGAGTGTTTTTGGGCCATTGCCGAGTGCCCCTGGCACTCGGCGAAACGACTGTATCCCGTAGTGATTGAACCATATCGGCCGAGCAAGGCTGTAACAATAAGATACGTTTTATTTCTAATTAGAACTGTGCCAATAGTTTGGAGATGAAAAAATATATTTCTTAAAGAAGAGGTGAATGGCTTAAAGACATATAATATTATTATATTTATTATATTATTATTATTGATATTGATGGAGAATGACTAAATTAGAACAGGAAGTTGAAAACTGACGATTGAAGTGGATTTTTATAAATCTTGGAAAAAGAACGGACGAAACCCGTTCGAACAGGGACGCGTGAAAAAAAGCATACTTTGTTTGGACGAGCCTTCGATTTGATCATTGTTTTTGTTGAAGAAGATATGTATGGTTGGGGCAGCGCTCGCTACGGCTAAGGTGAGCTCAGGACGTTCAATGCTAGCACACCAATGGCTTCTTGCCAGGGCTGCAGCTGCTGAAAAGCACTACAGTATTTTTGTATCTCAACTTGGCAGCAGCAGTTCAAATGGTTTGCTTTAAGATAAGCCAAACATATCATTATTGTTTTGCGAGTAACCGACATTATTCTAACTCGTGAAACGTGCATGTGCACGGCCGGCATGCCTAGCACAAGAACCGGCACAGGTGTTAGCGCTGCCTCTCTCTTCTTAGCCGTGCAGTTTGCTCGCTTCTCCTTTTCCTTTTTGTGTGATGTGATTTGGATTATTTTGCTTATTATTGTTTGATTCTAACCTAATGCACCTGGAGGAGGACTCGGCCTCTTGCTGGGCACCAACGCCAACGCATCGTGGTAGAATTAGTCTCTTTGCCGGGCACAAACTTTGGATTGCGGGCATCAATGCAATATGGTGGACGTGGACGTATTATGTTATGGAAAGTAAAAAGCCGGGTTGAAAGAGACACTTTGCTATATAGAAAGTAAAATAAGATTTTGTCTAATTTATTTTCTATTTGAATTAGGATTCATATTCCTATTCAGTTTATTCAGGCTCGGAGAGATCTATTTGTTCTAACCATGTAGGGTCATATAAGTCTAGACGGAAGAAACTCCGACTACCGGTAGCTAGGGGGAGGTGGACGAAAAAATGGCCGGAAAATTTACGTCTTTATTATTAGGTATAGATATAGATATAGATATAGATATAAATAAATTTAACGAGTATCTAATGATAATAATTACTATGCACTATAGTTATTAGTATTTTCTTGTATATATTTGGTTAAAGATGTGGGAAGGGAACACGATAGTTAAAAAGGATGGAGTAGCAACGATTATCTAATCACAATAATTATTATGCACTATAGATATTAGTTTTTTTTTTGTATATATTTGGTCACAGACGTGGGGGGAACACGATAGTTAAAAAGGATGGAGTAGTAGTTAACTTGTTGATCTGCATCCGCAATCTGCATTCAACCCAGTTGACTTGGACAAACGACCCACGATATATGCGGTGCCTTGGCGGTATCCCATACCCATCGTTCAACAACCGAATTAATGAAATCCCAGACCCACCTCCGATCGCACTCATCGATCCTTCTCGCCACGCCTAAGGCCTAGCTAGCTGCTACTACTCATGCCCGACCTCAACTTCTTCTGTCCTTACTGTTTCATCGTCGACGCCACCGTACCTAAGCACTGTCAGAGCCACGGCTCTCCTTCCTCCTGAAGAAGTCCTGATGCATTTGTCATGGTGTCACTACCTGACTGTTGCTGCTAACTACTACTGCTCTTCTGTGTGGTGCCATGGCCACTGGCCCAAAACGCCTCCATCGCCATTACAAATCATGTGTTGGGTGAGCTATCCCTCGACGTACGTGGAAGGCTGATTTGAAGCCTAACAAAAACAATCCACAAGCCTAGTGTATTTGTGCATCGTTTGGTTGGTGCTTGAATCAACGGTTTCGGATAGCTGGCTTCTTGATCGAGGAGGGGTAAAAGGATAAAAAATCTAGCCTCTGTCCATTGCACCAGTAGGCAGTACGTAATAGCTGCCACTGGATAAGAGGAGACCACAACACAACACAACACATGAAAAAAGGGGGTAAAGAGAAGGAGAAGGAAATGTATCCATGTTTGGTGGCTTTAAACTAGTCGTCTTTATTAAGCTTGTAATCGGAGGCTCAAATGTGATTGGTTCAGAAACAAACATGGTAAGTTCATTCTACACAGTGATTCGATCTACTCAATTGGTTCAGATAACTTTAGTTACAACATAGAACAATTGTGGTAGATGATTGATTTGGATGGTGAAATGGTCTGATTGAACTGAAACTTTATCAGGGGTCAAGGGACTCAGGATCGACATACCTACCAAATGTGTTCATAGTGGATCTGTAGTTTGTGAAATATAAACTGATAACCATGGGGGATAGAATCATGAGTTCTCTATTTGTCTGTAGACATTTCTCTTGTTAGATGGTAATTATGCTAACTTTGCAACTTGATGGATGTGCGGCTACTTTTGTAATCCTCTAGATACTCTAGAGAATACTCCTTGTACCCACACGTTGATTATAGTGGAAGCTTGGAGTGGACCGGCTAGCCTCATGTTTTTTTTCCTCACCTTAAGGAGGTTTTCGATGTAAATCACTATGTTAATTTTACATATGATTGTTATAATTTCACTATTGATCTAATGGTAGATGTTGTCCTCATTTTCATCTTAATACAAGGGATATTTAACTGTATTGTTGCTGCCATTTTATCCCAACACCACACGTCGCCTATTCATATGATGAAGTTTGGGCACTTACCAAACTAAATACAGATCAAGTCATAGGTGAACTAGCTTTAAGTGCCACTTTGATGCCTCTTATTTTAGTGCTAAGGGTATGTTTGATTTAAGAGCAAAGTTGGATGGAACAAGGTGATCCATGGTTTTAGGGATGGTAGCACCCGATTTTAAGGATTAAACCAGATACACTCCATATGTGAGCCTAGGAAGTCAAATC